GAGATGGATATTGAAATTTACCTGAATGATTAACCTATCTGCACAGGGACCCCTGAAACGTGTTGCTTTAACCAGATAACGACGTCCTGGAGGAACCAAGAATACTGATTCTGGTGTAGAACATGCAGTGTTCCATGCTTTTACAAAGGCCTGATAGTAACAGCATTAAAGAAGAAAGATATTACCATCGAGAACAATCAAGAGAGGAACACCCTTCAAGTATGTTAAATTGACCAGACTAAGATCATCCCTTAAGTGAGAGACATTTTTTACAGTAAATTTCAAAATGCATCATTACAGTTTCCCCAGCACTGTATCTGAAAAAACTCTTCAAATAAAGAGAAAGAAAATCTGCACCTGGGTGTCATCGGAAACTCCATCTCCCACTGCACCAAAGTCATCCACATTTAAAAAACCCTTCTTAGCAGACCTACTTGTCCACGATGGGACGTCAAAAAGTTCTTCCTCAGCCTCTTCTGCTACGTCCAAATTTTCAAACTCCCAAAGCATATCAATGCTGTCATACAATAGGTTCCCTGCAACTCCATAAGCTGGTATCAGCAAACAAAAAATGGAAACCACAAAGAGTTTACCCATGTTATCTCTTTACTAGCTCTTTGCAAGATTGGTTTGTATAATCTGTTGGAGACAGCGGGTTTAAATTTATATAGCAAGAGATTAGTAAGAGTTTTCTAAGCTGGTGGCTTGGATTAAAAGCACATTTAGGTGCTCCATATGTTCTACATGCCCACACTTAAAGTACAAGGGATCTTTGTGTTCTTTGCTTTACTCTTCAACCAGTGCACAAAATTTACCAAGTCCAAATGGTCATGGATAGTGTTTGACTAGTGTCCTCTGTCTCTTTCTTGGAGGAATGGATAAGAGGAAAATGAGAAAATAAACAGGAAATCTTGTTTTGTAAATATAAAGATAAATATTACTGTCAGTAGTACTGTAGCAGTAGAAAAAGCATCCAATAAAACTAAATGAGGTCAATCAGCAAGTTAGGCCAATCTAAGACGCTAAAATAGCAAGAATCCTGTCCATGCACCATGGGCATGTCATAAAGCTTCCACTGAAAGAAAGCACTCCACATATGGCATATCTACAAAAAAATAATTTCACACAGTTTTGACGGGGCAACCTTTACCTATATGGGGCTCCTAGGGCTAATTCTGTCCATCAATTTTGCCAGTAGGAGATGCAAATTCTAATTGCAACCATTCACCACTATTGAGCTATAACCAATCTCCCTCATGAGCTTCCTTGCCACTGCAATCTCTCTAATTTGCAATGAGGTCTCAAATTCTCCTATTTCAGAGTAAAAGTTTGAAACTTGTATACAAACAGCAAAATCCAACGGCTCAAGCTCCATCAAGATTTTTGCAGCTCTTCTTCCTACTGTTTCATTCTTGTGAATCCTACAGCTCCGCAACAAAGAGCTCCACATCACACAATCAGCCTTTGCTGGTGCATGCTGCATCAATGCTTCAGCTTTCTCCAGCAGTCCTGCCCGGCCTAAAAGATCTACCATGCATGAATAATGTTGCCGGTCTGGGCACATGCCATAAACCGATTTCATTGAACTAAACACCAATCCTCCCTCTTCTACCAACCCCGAATAATTGCATCCTGTTAATACACATAGAAATGTCACTTTATCTGCTTTCAACCCCTTCTGAATCAATGCTTCAAACATCTCAAGACTTTCCCTCCCCATTCCATTTTGAGCATACCCATTGATGATAGATGTGAAACAGAAGACATTAGGTGAAGCAAGTTTTTCAAAAACTTGCCGAGAAAGTTCAACATGACCACATCTAGAATATGTGTCGATCAAAGAGCAAGAAACTGCAACATCAGATTCATAACCTGACTTTACAGCACAGCAATGCAGAAGTCTGCAACTAGGCAAGATTGCACAACCAGAAAATGAGAGTGCTTTTAGTGTTGTGGTAAGTGTGACTTCATCAAATGCAATTCCTCCATGAACCATTAAACTAAACATCTCAACCACATCTTCAGTGACCCCACAATGCAAAAAAGATGTCATTAGGGCGTTACAGGTCTCCAAAATTCTACGCGGAGAAGCTTCATAAACAGATAGTGAACTCTCAATGTCACCACATTTCCCATACATGTCAATTAATGCAGACTGGACATGGACGCTTGCATAATCAAAACCCATTTTTAATACATAACAATGGATTTGCTTTCCAAACAGAATATCACCACCACTACTAGATAGATTCAAGAACCCCACAAATGAACGGATAGATGGCCTCTTCCCCCAAAACTGCATCCTATGGAATAATTCAAGGGCATCGAGCAACAAATCATGATCAGTGTAAACTGAAATAAGTGAATTCCATGAGATCACATCCACCTCACAAACAGCTTTAAATGATTTCCTAGCACCAGTTAGACACCCACAAGCAGAATAAAAATCCACCAAAGCATTGGCAACAAAAATATGTGATTCTGCCCATCCAACCTTTATAACCTGGCAATGAAGCTGCTCTCCTTCATCCAATAACCTTTTGTTACTGCAACCATGAATCAGATAACAATAACTAAGCCCATTTGGACAAATACCATCCATTTCCATCTTATGATAACATTCAAATAATTCACTTGATCGACCCAACTCAGAGAACCATCTGAATATCAAATTCCATACAATCAAATTTCTCTTTGGTATTTCATCAAATACCCTGAAAGCTTCCTTATCAGACCCCATATGCATATAAATATCCATAAGGGAGCTCCCAATATACAAATTCAACTGAAACCCAAGTGAAATTACCCTGCAATGAACTTGAGTTCCTTCTCTATAATAACCACAGTTGCTGCATATGCTTATAACAGAAGAAAATGTGGATGCACTCTCTCTTACACGCCTTGAAACCATTTCACTGTAAAAACCAAGAGCCTGTTTTGAGTACCCATATCGGGCATATCCAGAAATAAGCAAGTTATATGAAACAACATCACGTACAGGCATTTGGTCAAACAAGGTCTGGGCAGATATTAGGCAACCAGTTTTGACTGATGCATCAATTTTCCGGTTATTGGTATAAACAGTCTGGTGATAACTTTGGTCACAGTACGAGTATAATAACAGAGAAGAGGTCGTTGAAGTTCCTGATATAGACTTTGCTGCTAATGTTGTTATGGTACGAAGCAACAGCAAGCTTCTGGCGCTTAACATGGCTCCTGCAAAAAATTGAGCTAAAATAAGAACTGGATCAGTATAGAAGAATTATGTATTCATCAATTAACTTGTGGATCTCATTAATTATTTGAATTTATTTTATGTTATGTGGAGTACCTAATAAGATGCAAAATTTATTTTTCCTGATATGCATTTTACTTGGGTTTTTCTAGGGAAAAAAAGGATTTTTGTATGCTGCAGCCGCCTTGTCAACTATCATGAAGCTATCTATTGTTTCAGTTTTTCAGGCAGATTCTGGTTGGGAAAATTGATATATTAATTAGTGAAGTAAAAAATAAAAATTTTAAAATAACTCAATTGACGGAATGCAGATCAAATTATTTTCAGTACAAAAGGCAAATGATGACTCTTTGCCTTCGCTATAGCTCTACCTGGAACCGACATTCTTTTCTTTCTTTTAATTCAAGAAAACGACATGCCATTGTCTCCAGATATGGTGGGAAAGTTTGACTGGTCATCATTCAGGCAGTGGACATACATTAAAGTGACCAAGAAGAGCAGTAAACAATCATCAAGACTCTCTTTGCCAGCACATGAGATTCATGTGCTCAGAACCACTAGCAAGTGAGAGAACAGCTGACAAACAGTGGCACATGAGACACTGATGATATGTGAGACAACAACCAGAAACCAGCCCTCTGTCAGAAAAATCTGTTGTTAATCACGAGCAAAAGAATGCAGAAACTAGTTTTTGTTACTCTCTCCCCTAGAGTTAGGGCTTTTTCTTTTCTTCTGCATGGGGACAGGACAATGAGGGAAGATTCTGAAAAATAAAGGGAGAGTCGGGGAGACAGAAGAACTTTAATTTCTAATAATCATTGACTGGAAAGGTTTTGGAAGACAACTTTTTCTTGTACTTCTTTTTCGTTGTAGATCGCTATGAAGGTTGGTAGTAAATGAAAACCGTTGACACTAAGCACTACAAAAAATCTGATATCCTAGAACCTATTCTTGGATAAAGGAGTAAATCGAAGTAATGCCATGCTCCTATGCTTACTATTGTACTGAATAAACAGTACATCATATTATTAGGAACATTTGGTACAAGAATAGGAAAATTAAGAATAGGAACTTCCCAAGAGTATGTAGCTTAGATGGCACAACACTCCCATTGTGGAGCTCATGACTCAAACTCGAGTCCTTCCCCCACCCTGCCTCGAAACAAAAAGAACTTTGAACTCTACAGGAAAAGCAGTGTTTAATGACCGTAAAAAAGCGACAGTTTTGGCTTATGTTTTGAAGTAAGGATATCTTAACACTCTCCGTAATTGTTTAATCAAAGTTTGGTCTTTAGATCACCTAGGAACGATTGTGATTTTGAATTTAACTTTGTGTAAGATGCTGATGGTGATGATTTAATTGATTTTGTGCAATGTTGGTATATAATTGATTATGCATATTTGTTTTAGTTGTTTGGGGTTTTGCATGCCGTGGTGGGTTGATATATATACCTAGTGGGTCGATACGCAGGAAAGACCGTTTATAGTTGCTTGTGCGAGTGGGATGTGTGTATATGTGTATGTAGTGAACCCTACTGTGAATACGAAATCAGTCAGACATGCCTGAGAAGTCCCATATTAGACGGAGTTAAAAAATAGTTTGGTAGCACTCATACTAAAAAAAGTATTGGGGACAATCATTGTTTTAATATTGTTCATATCGGACGAGATATGGAAACGATCTATAATTGCGACGTTTATACCAGACAGAGTATTGAAGACGGTTGATAATTTAATGATACTCATACCAAACAGGGTATGAAAACGGTCTATCATTGTGACACCCATTACTTTCTTGATCTGCCCCAACTTGAGATCGTGAAAAGCTTGGAAATGCAATATCTCCTGCACCCTCAAAAACATTGACACTACCTAGTGTGAATTGAGCAGGTCACCCCATCTTCCAAAAAAGTTCCTCAAATTACAGATTGTGATCTCTGTATGGTTTCCATAACCTCTGGGAATTTCTGGAACATGGTTGCATGAATAGTTAGAAATACTATCTTTTGGATGGGTATAATTCCCAATATTTCTGTTGAATGCCACCATTAATGTCTGCCCAGCCAAAGAAATGAGAAATACTATTTTTTCCCAGCTAGTAAAAGCTAGAAAACCATGATAAGAGAGATAGTGTAAATCGTAACATATCACATTACTGAATTGAAAATAAAACTTTTGGAACACAAATTCAAAGACAAATATTCAGTGAAGGATATTTCTTACTAACTAATCATTGGCACCACGAAATACAGCACTAGTGAAGACTCAAAGGATCTGGTCCTAAACAATCAACAAAAGTAGCTGAACAAGTTCACTAGGGCTGAAGCACCTGAACCAACAAGATATCCAAATTATTGGCAAACACTATAACAAGAGTCAAAATCACTCTCTAGACTAGGACCAAATCATTATAGTCAGTGTAACTGCTACACATAAT